CACACCTCCAGACACACTGCAGTTTTCTTTCTTCCCTGACCCTTACATACTCTGCATTCCTATAAAAACTGCCTACCCATTTCCATGACCTGAACATGCTTCACCTTCCTCCTCCTGACCTTGACTGGAGACGGTGCTACAGAGTCCAGCCTACAACTCAGGTGTACAGGAGATGGAACTGTATTTCCCTTTGATCCATTTCTGTTTGGTTTCCTCTTTCTACTGGAATTGAGGAAAGTGAGTAGAAATCAAGCAGGAAAGGCTGCATACTTTTCAGAACCCTGTGCAAAATCAAAATGGGATCCCCTTGTTCAGAAAATAAGGATTTCAGTATGATGACATCAGAGTATTAAGTTAAATGATGACCCCTTCTAAGTCTGGAGCTCTGTGTGACACACACGGTCACACTCCCATGAACCTGGTGCTTCTGTCAATGTTGGATTCATTTCATCTCTGTGCCTGCCTGCTAAGTCACTTCAGTTGTGCCCAACTCTGCGACCCCATGGGCTGTAGCCCATCAAGCCCTTCTGTCCATGGGGATTCTCCAGGCAAGAATACTGGAGTGGGTTGCCATGACCTCCTCCAGAGGATCTTCCCAACCCAGGGATCCAACCCATGTTTTTACGTCTCCTGCACTGGCAGGCGGGTTATTTACCACTAGTGCCACCAGGGAAGGCCGTTATCTCTGTAGTTATGTCTAAATTTGAAGGGGGGGAGGTATCTAATCGGTGTCCACTGTCTATGCCACTGCCTGCTTTGAAAGTCCATCTTTCTGGCCTTCATCATTGGTCCAAGTAAACTGCCTCATTCTCAAACTGAATCCTAAAAAATATTGAATAGTCACTTTTAACATAATTACCTAGCTATGCATTGGGTGTATTAAAAAGACTACAACATATTGTAAATCCAAGGAAGTCCAAATAGGTTGTCTCACTCACATCCCTTCTCCTTCTGTCACTGCTATTCCAGCACACCAAAAAAGAGATTTTGCTCTCTCTCAAACTTAAATACATCCCTCAAACCAAACCCTCGACCCTTTCCAAGGGTATCAACCCCACTCAGGACCTGGCTTGGGGGGGGGACACAGGATCACACAGTGGCTGTGCATTTCTTTTCTCTCCACATCTCCTCACTCCTTGGCATTTTTGCCCGTTTACCATATTTATATCTCATTCCGCTTTTTCTAAGCCCCAGTCTTTATTTCCACCCAAGATTTAAGCCATCATCTAGAAAAGCCGGGAAAGGATTGCCTTCTCTCTTTACATTCTGCTTTTGGCATCCACTGAACTAAAGACTAGCTAACAGTACAGTTGTCCCAATAGCAGAGAAGTCAGGGTAGGAGGGGGAGCTGAGTGAAATACCGGAAAGAGAGAAATTGGGTAGAATATTTTAACAACATTATCCAACCACACATCTTCTGTCCCCAGGTTGTCAAGAATATGTGTGCACGTGAACTGCACTCTCCAGTGGAGAGTGAACTCACCAATTGCAAAGGATACCTATCCCAGTTTTAGAAACAACTTCTACTTCCTGAAAGTGTTTATAAAAATTAAAGTATACAAACATACACACACATACACACACAGAGGCAGGAAGATATCAGAGCTCTTAACCACTATTCCCTCCCACTTCTGGGAACTGCATTTTATCCTGATGTGCTGTCCACCTAGAGGTACTGGTGTAGTCATTGATGATATGGAACAAAACTTATCAGTTCTACAAAATGGTGAGAAATCGTCCAAACTTGAGTCCCTTATCCTGTTGTCATCACCACCCTTATCTCCCCTTTGGTTTTCCCCTAGATGACTCTCCTTAGCCCAAACACACACACAGATAAAGGTTTCTTTCTACCTCTGTCTCTGTGTTTCTCTCTCTCTTTCATCTTAAAAAAAAAAGTTATTTTTGCCACACTGGGTCTTAGTTGCGGTACGTAGGATCTTTGATCTTCTTTGGGCATTATCTTTTAGTTGCAGTGGGATCTTGACTTGCAGCATGTGAACTCTTAGTTGTAGTATATTATGTCTAGTTCTCTGACCAAGAATTGAACCCAGATCCCCTGCTTCCTTTGTAGCTCAGCTGGTAAAGAATCGGTGTGTAATGCGGGAGACCTGGGTTCGATCCTTGGGTTGGGAAGATCCCCTGGAGAAGGGAAAGGCTAGCCACTCCAGTAGTCTGGCCTGGAGAATTCCACAGACCGTATAGTCCATGGGGTCACAAAGAATGGGACACGACTGAGTGACTCACTTTCCCCTGCATTGGGAGCTTAGAGTTTTAGTCACTGGGCCACCAGGGAAGCCCTCTCCCTCATCTTTATTTTTAAGCATAAAATTGACTAATCCTTCAACCTTTAAATAATAGTTTAGTATATTTTCCCGATGCATTAATATTGTATGCATGCACGCTCAGTCACTTCCATCGTATCTGACTCTTTGCAACCTCATAGACTGTAGCCCTCTAGACTCCTCTGTCCATGGGGTTTTCCAGGCAAGAAAAATGGAGT